TCCTGCAGAGCTCAGACCAAAGGGCCTCTCCTTCCATCAAGAGGCCATGGTTCTAGCCTGTCAAGAAAGAATCACGGCATGGCACATCACTGAGGCAGCATCAAAACATATGGTCACTGCGATAGCCCTACAAAGGCACGCCTGGCTTCAGTCAGCTAACATCATGGAAGACTCCGAAATGTGTATAGAGGACTTACATTTCGATGGTTCTGGCGTCTTTGATACTGAGACAGATGACATCCTGGAAAATCTACAAAAGATGAAAAAGACGACACACTCTTATAATGTTCAGCCCTATTACAAAAATCAACACCACCAATGGCGACACCAATACCCATACCAACAATACAAATCATTTCCTGACAGACAGAGATACTTACCACAGCAAACTACTTCATACCAGTCTTGACAGCATGCTCAACTCAGCGTCCTCACCAATCATACAGGCATCCTGAGAAGAAGAACAAGCAGAGCCTTTGACTTTCCAACCCCTTTATCTCCCATCCTGCCCACCACTTCTACCTCCCATCTTGCACCATTCTTCCCCGTGTGGGCGCACATCACTACGGATTCTTGGGTACTATCAATCATCGCAAATGGTTATGCTATAGAATTCCTATCTCTTCTACCTCCCTGAGTTATCTTCACCCTTCTTCCACCACTCTCAAATCAGAGATCCAAACTCTACTCTCAAAATCAGCCATATCACCCGTCACTCCAAATTCATCCGATCCCTGCTTCTTCTCCAGATACTTCCCATCCTAGATCTTTGGGACCTCAACTATTTCATCGCTCAACACCATTTTCGTATGGTGACTTCGGAACACATCCTTCCATTGCTCCAACACGGAGACTGGTTTTTAGTTATCGACCTGAGTGATGCATATTTTCACATTTTCATCACATGCGACCATCGCAGATTTCTCCGTTTCTCTCTCAGATGTGCCACTTTCGAATTCAACGACTTACCATTTGGCCTGTCGACAGCACCCAGAATGTTCACAAAGTGCATGACTCCGGTGGCAGCATATCTTTGTACCCTTGGGATCTCGATGTTCCCGTACATCGAAGATTGGTTACTAGTAGCTCATTCCTGGGACCAAGCACTACAGGACATTGAGGTGACTCTATCTCTTCTAAAAGATCTTGGCCTCAAGGTCAATTTAAAAAAATCAGTGCTGACCCCCTCTCAGCAAGTAGACTAAATAGGTGCAGTGCTCGATTCTCTTCATGCCAAGGCTTTATTTCCTCAGAAGTGTGCAATCAAAATACGAGCCCTTGTCAAGCATTTTTATCCAGAGGTGTTTGTGACTGCCCATCAAGCACAACGCCTACTTGGCCTCATGGCCTCCACTACGTCTGTTATCCAGCACACGAGGTTGAAAATGCACTCACTGCAGGCCTGGTACCTGTCTCTGTTCAACCCTCTTCTCGACGCTCCCACCATGCACCTACAGGTTACCCACAAGCTTGCCTACCAGCTCAAGTGGTGGATCACACCTTCCAATCTATTCCTCGGTTGACCCTTTGTGCTACTAGTGTTGACAGGTGTCAACTGAAGCCAGCCTTGTCATTGGGGGGCGCACTGGAGAGACCTTCATGTTCATGCAACATGGTTGACACGAGAAAGGCTTCTCCATATCAACAAACTGGAGTTATTAGCAATTTTCAAGGCATTCCATGCCTTCCTGCCAATCATTGTAGGCACTGCAGTCCAGGTCACCATGGACAACACTGCAGCGCTATATTACATAAGCAAACAGGAAGACACACATTCACTTCCTCTCCTCTACCTCACTGTATAATTCTGGGAGTGGTGTCTGGACCTTCACATTTTTCCAATGGCAGTGCCCTTTGCCACACAGGACAATGCCTGGGCAGATCATCTGAGCCAACAAACTTTCCAGATGCATGAGTAGTTTCTCGATCAGGATGTGTTTCTCCAAATCTGCAAAGAGTGGAGCCAACCCATTATAGACACATTCACTACAGAGATGAACAGAAAGTTCACCAGCTATTTTTCAAGGGCGGGGAGTGGCCGAGGATCCCTAGGAGACGCCGTCATAGTATCTTGGAATACCCACCTCATCTATTTCTTCTCTCCAATACCACTCCTATTGTGAACCATTGTAAAAATAAAACAGGATCACACCAATGCAATTCTAATTGCCCCATACTAGCCGAGGCAGCCGTGGTTCACAATGTTGACCTCCATGATATCCCAATCAATTTGGCTATCTTGTCTCCCTCACCTCCTCACACAACACTGAGGGCAGACCTTCCATCCCAACCTTCAGTCCCTACATCTGGCTGCTTGGAGAATTTTACCTCAATAAACACTATCCTTTCCTATTCCAAGAGACCTTCTACAAACCATCTCTACTTCTTCAAATGGTTGGCTTTTCAGAAATTTGCAAAGAAACATGAACTTCCATCTGCACCAGATACTCTGAGAGTGGTATTGCTTTTTCTCTCTTACTTATTTGATCATTGCTTATCCTTATCTACGCTGAAGGTATATATGGCAGCTATTGTGGTACACCAACCCCAAGATTCGGATGCTGCTTTATTATTTCGGCATCCTACTTTGAAGAGATTCCTTCGAGGAGTAGCCCACCTTAACCCTCCAAGACCATCACCTACACCTCAGTGGTTGCTACACTGCGGCATCTATCTCTTCCTCCCTTCAAATCCCTTGCCAATGTGACAGAGTGTCTGCTGTCATTTAAGGTTGTATTTCTAGTGGCTATCACCTCTGCCCATAGAGTGTCAGAACTTGCAGCTCTCCGTATTGATCCTCCCTTTCTACAATTCCACCCATATAAGGTCACCCTATATATGGACATCTCCTTCTTTCCCAAAGTATCTACTGATTTTCATTTCCGTCACCCAATCATTCTGTCTACTTTCTTTCTTAAACCATCCACTGGTGTTGAAAGATCACTCCACCTCATGGACGTGTGGCGTGCTCTTGCTTTCTGTGTGAAAAGGACTGCTTCCTTTAGGAAGTCCAAGCGCTTGTCTCTCCTCACCCACCTCACAGAGGAGAACAGATTTCTCCACAAACCATATCAAGATGGATTGTGCAAACCATTCGTCTAACTCACCAACAAGCCTCTTCCGGACAATGTCAAGGCTCATTCCGCCATGGCATTGGCAGTGTCTACTGCCTTTCTCAGAGGTGTCCCAGTCCACGATATTTGCAGGGCTGCCACCTGGTTGACTCCGTCTACCTTTGCATCTCATTATCAATTGGACATGCGTGCCAAGGCAGATACGAGTTTTGGACGTGCAGTTCTGTATTCAGTCTTGCCGTGACGTCCCTCCACTTATAAGGTAAGCTTGTTAGTCACCCATTAGTGTGTATTCACAGAGACCGCGAAGAAGAAAAAGATGTTACTTACCTGTAACTTTGGTTCTTTGAGTGGTCATCTGTGAATTCACTCTTCCCACCTGTCCTCTCCTCTGTCCATCACGTCTGTCTCACTTTTTGAGGAGCAGCGGCTTTGGGGAACTGAGGTAATTGCTAGGATGGGCAGACCATGTGGGCTACGGGGGGGGGACAGTCCTAGTGATCTTTTAACTCTAGAATATTCCAAGACCTCTGCGCAGGCACAGACTTAACCCATTAATGTGAATTCACAGATGACCACTCAAAGAACCAGAGTTAGAGGCAAGTAACCTCTTTTTTAGGTTTTTGCTGGTTATTTTTAAAAAAAGAAAGACTGCAGACCCATGGGATGTCCTTGGCCACTTCCTCTTGGGACTCTGACAGTTGGGCCCAGGCACCTTAAACTCTCTTGCACCTTACAAGTAGAGGCTGTTTTTGTCCTAATTTCAGCTTACTTACAGAGTCCCCAGTACAACAACTGGAGAGTTAACTGTAGCCTGAATTGGAATCAGGTAACAGAAAGAAATAAGATTCTATGTGGTCCTGTAAAACTCTTAACTTTGACCTGGGTCCTGTGTTTGAGTAACTTGTGTTTCAGGTAAAGTTCAGGATGCTTATTGTCTGTCTCTGTGCTGAATTTCCTGCTAAACATCTTTCATCATTTTCCTGAAAATTCCCTTTCTCCAAGCAATCAGCCCAGATACTTTTTAAAAGTAATCAGCCCAGATACTTTTATCTATTCAGATACGTTTTATCAGTTCATATCTCTTCAGATTGCAACCAGCAATTAGATTGCTTTTCCTTGTCACATGTGCAAGATGTCTACCTTTCCCTACATGGTTTCGGAGAACGTGAAATGTAAATACTCACTTTTCATAACGAAACTGTGTTAAGTATAGCCATGTTTTAAGTTGACAGTGGTATACTCTCCTGAGACAATCATCTTGTGGAATCATCTTGCATTAGAGAAGATGAAAGAACCAATGATTAAAGCACACAGCTCGAAGGGGTCTGGTACAACTGTCCCAATTGTATTATTATTATTTTGTATATGTATTATATTGTTATTCTGTTGTTTATTTATATGTTGTAAACCACTGGTTCTTAACCTTGGGCTACTCAGGAGTTTTGGACTGCAACAGATTAAAGCACACAGCTCGAAGGGGTCTGGTACAACTGTCCCAACTGTATTGTTATAATTTTGTATATGTATTATATTGTTATTCTGTTGTTTATTTATATGTTGTAAACCACCCAGAGTGGCCCTGGCTGCCAGATGGGCAGTATATAAAGCAAGCAAGCAATCAAGCAATCAAACAAACAAACAAACAACAACAACTTGATTTTTGGAGATCACCTAGAGAAGTTTGTAGTTATAGATGAAGTGTTTATCCAGAGCAGTGATTCTGAAAGGATAAAGTTGCATAGTATGTCAGGATGCTGGTAGTAGACCTTAAGAGAAAAATTGAAAGGGAGGTGACTAATGAGTCCTAAACATAAGCAACATTCCCTTAATTAGCAGCACAATTGGAACATCCAGTTTAGGGGGTACCAAGAAATGAATGAAAGCAGCACAGTTCCATTGAACATCTTTGTGTTCTTTTGACAGCTTGGATTCTTGGTCCTTTTAAGGCTTCTTTTGCTGCATTTCTTTGGTGGCCAGAATTTTTCTGCAGAATCCAAATCTAGGCTTCATATTGGTTTAAAAGGTAAGTTGTACATTCTATTTATCTCTTTTGATGTACTTAGGATACACTTGGATATCTAATAGATTTACAGCCTCACTTATCTTCCCTATCTCAGTAGTGCTACCCCCGTTGCCCAAACACTTATCTTTAAGCAGAAAGGTTCCAACTAGATTTACTTCTTCTTGTACTCCCCTATTTACGCAAAGTTCACTGCTCAGTAATTATAACCGAGGTGGGCAAACTATATCCCTCGTTCTAATTTCATGTGGCCCTTGGCCTAATTTCAATAGTCTCTGCAACTGATTAGTTCAGAGTTCTGGTAAGAGATGGAAAAGTGACAGCCCTACTCCCTTTTGATCCTGATTCCACTGCTAGCAAGTAGCCTGTGGCAGATTAAGCTCCCAGTGGAATGTGGCCTCATTCCTACACAGTAAGGTTCAACAGTATTATGTTGTGAACTGCCCAAAGTGGCCTTGGTAGCCAGATGGGTGTTGTAGAAACTGCATGCAAAGAGTTCTGGTAAGAGATGGAAAAGTGACAGCCCTACTCCCTTTTGATCCTGATTCCACTGCTAGCAAGTAGCCTGTGGCAGATTAAGCTCCCAGTGGAATGTGGCCTCATTCCTACACAGTAAGGTTCAACAGTATTATGTTGTGAACTGCCCAAAGTGGCCTTGGTAGCCAGATGGGTGGTGTAGAAACTGCATGCAGTGTTACAGATTTCAGGACTTCTTCTTGCTTTTGAGTGCTCCTTATGCCTTACCTTCCATTCCTCTTCATCCTCAAAAACCGGTACAGTGGATATCAATAGCTATAGCAATATCGCCCTATGCCTTGCATCACCATGAGCTTTGAAATTAGAGAAGACACATTCACTACTGGAATAATGGAGAATTCTTCCCAAGATTTGGCTGAGTATCCTGTTTCCCCGAAAATAAGACCTAACCTGAAAATAAGCCCTAGTAGGATTTTTCAGGATGCTCGTAATATAAGCCCTACACCAAAAATAAGCCCTAGTTAAGTGAAACGCTGCCCTCCACCATTGTGCAGCATTGTGCAGCAACCAGGAGAAGATGACATGACTGTATTTGAATAAATGTAGATTGTTGTACATGAAAAAAAAGTCCCCTGAAAATAAGCCCTAATGCATTTTTGGAGCAAAAATTAATATAAGACACTGTTTTATTTTCGGGGAAACAGTGAAAAACCACAGTTTTAATGTAAAGGTACCTTGCGTTTGTTAGATTTTGCAAAATGGTAGATAGCTGAAGCATAGACATAGGCCAGAATCCTTTTGAGAGTTTACTCTGGAGTAAGTAAAATCTCATAAGTCATATCAGCATATTTGCCTGGTCATATAACTGGGTACACAACTGGCTTCTTGTCAATTAGCAGCAATTTGCCACCATAATTTAGTGGATTTCAGCTGCTGCAGAATAAAATCCCAGTTGGATTCTGGCCATAGTCTGTTGTCATTAGGAGGTAATATCATACCAATAAGGTGATGGCATTGTGCCATTTATGAAAATCAAACCTCGGGAATCTCCTCTCTCTTTGCATGACATTGTCTTGCCTGCCTTATCCTTTGGGAACTATAAAACATGAAAGGTAAGTGTGAGCTATTTGGTGAGGTTTCCTTTGTTTTCCTTTGTGAAATGGATGAGTCATGTATCTTTCTGGCCAGGAATATATACTAGCCAGAAAGATATAGGGAAAATGTTCTGCTACAAAGTCTGCTTTTTCTTCAGTGTTGTGAAAGACTTAATTGCTGTTAATAACTTTTAGATTATAATTAAAACTAGAGAATATTCAAAACACATAGTTTTTTTTACTATGTATGAAACAGAAATTGTGCACGTGTCTGTAGTTAATTGAGATTCCAGATGTGCAACTGGCACCCCATTGATTAGTCATGTCTGTTTTTGCAATTTTTCTTTTGTGTGCAGACAAAAAAAAAGCAACAGAATACTGGCCTTTACGTCATGCTGCTATGATGTAGCATGTGTTTCAAATAGAAAGAGTTCTGTGTTTCAAGTGGCAGGAGTTTGTTACTTCAACAATGCAAAATTCTGGCAATGCAAAATTCACCTGAAAATCTCTGCCAGCCATCAGTCTGGTCTTGCTCTTCAAAATACATGATTTCCCTGTGCAGGCTGCTTCATACATGTGTCATTGCAAAAGAAGCTAAGGGTGCTTGATAAAATCAAGTTCAGTTTTCGCTTGCCACATATTGTAATAAATGAACACAATGTCAAATACTGTACCTTCCTAGCATAAGTCATGCATCTTAGCATACATGTACAATGTATGCAGTGACTCAGCAGGCAGTTGCTGTGGTGGTAAGACTGCAGAGGTATTGCTGTCTTGCTACTTTTACTGGTTGTCATGGTCACAAGTTCATACAGAGAAAGATGAGTGCAGTATCAGACATTTAAAACAATGCTGATATTATAGTTGTTTCCCCTTCATTACATGTTTGCAGTAGCCAGATATAGAAAACATACCTGGAGAAATCCCCCAAATGTAAGGTTCCTGAAAGAATTCTTAAGATCCACATACATATCCTTAAGATCCTTAAGGTGCACACATACATGTTCCACAAAAGGATTAAAAACAGTCTGATCTCCCCCCCCTTTTTTTAAAAAAATGAATCCATTGATTTAGAAATAATCTTGGGAGACAGATCTCTCAGGTTTAGGGAGCCACTGGCAAATTATTACTGTTCTGCTGTTGGTGATAGAATATTGTTAAAAGATAAACATTATTTTAGAAACCTGTATATGATACAGGATACACAGTGTGTTGTAGTGGATAGAGTGAGGGACTAGGACTCAGGAGGCCTAAGTCTGAATCCCCACTCAGCCATGGAAGCTCACTGAGGGGGTCCAACTGGCAAAACTTTCCTTAAATATCTCACATACTTTAAGAGTCCTATTAGGGTCACTATAAGTCAGTTCTGATTTAACAGCACATAACATTTATGATACAGCATTTTTTCCAGTGTAAAAAAAAGATTTCCTTCCCGTTTATAGCATGAATGAACCAGTCTTCAGACACTTTTGATACCATATTAGGGTGTATAAAAGTTTCTTATTTTAAATATGTGCATTCTTTTGATGAAAACAATTGGCTTGCTGAGTGATTGCTGCCAAAATAAATTCAAATATATAGAACAATCTCTTTTCTTTCCATTGTTGGTGAACTATTTGGTTCACTGTTAGCTAGCAGCCTGAATTGAACACTTCTGCCTTGAATTGTATGAATCTTATCAGCACAGTTTTGTTTATTCATTTTTTCAGTAAATAAATAATTCAGTAAATAAATATTCAATAAACACTGTGCTACTATTTGTCTCCAGGATGTAGTCTGAGAAGGGCGGGTCTCAAGCTTACCTTGTGCACTGTTGTTGGCAGTAGGTTAGGTTAAGTTTTTTTATACGGTCATAGATCCGAAAATTCAGAGATGAAAACATAATACAAGATATACAGATTAAATAAGTTGTTATAACATATTGGCAGTATAAATCTTGAGTCAGGTGGTTGTCTTTATATAACATTTTACGAATTCTGAGAATAAAATAGCTACCAACTGTGTTATTAATTGGTTCTCTCCTGACAGTAGAAACTTCGGGTAGTCTGTGTGAGATATACTAGTACATTTACACATTATTGGGTAGTGATAGCAAATATTTTTGAACCTATATAAACTGCAAGGACTCAACTATTTCTTCCTCACAGGGGCATATCTTTTCTCCATAGGGAATGTTATTAAAGTGCCCTTTTAACAAGGCTGAGGGACAGCAATTAAACCTAGCCCTTGAGAAGACAAAATGATACCTTGGTACTGTGATTTGGTATAAGTAATTTGCTGATTTGGGAAGGTTAAAATTTAATCCAAAATGCATTGGTGAACCGGTCTTGTCTGCACATGCTAGTGAATACTGGATTTCTATATCTTTAATATGTTGTACAAGCATTGACTTGGTATTGTCATAAGGCTGACTCAGAAAGAAGTGAGAAGCCTAAAAGATGTATAGGTTAGGTTAAGTTTTTTTATACGGTCATAGATCCGAAAATTCAGAGATGAAAACATAATACAAGATATACAGATTAAATAAGTTGTTATAACATATTGGCAGTATAAATCTTGAGTCAGGTGGTTGTCTTTATATAACATTTTACGAATTCTGAGAATAAAATAGCTACCAACTGTGTTATTAATTGGTTCTCTCCTGACAGTAGAAACTTCGGGTAGTCTGTGTGAGATATACTAGTACATTTACACATTATTGGGTAGTGATAGCAAATATTTTTGAACCTATATAAACTGCAAGGACTCAACTATTGGCTTGCTGAGTGATTGCTACCAAAATAAATTCAAATATATAGAACAATCTCTTTTCTTTCCATTGTTGGTGAACTATTTGGTTCACTGTTAGCTAGCAGCCTGAATTGAACACTTCTGCCTTGAATTGTATGAATCTTATCAGCACAGTTTTGTTTATTCATTTTTTCAGTAAATAAATAATTCAGTAAATAAATATTCAATAAATACTGTGCTACTATTTGTCTATATCCTTAATATGTTGTACAAGCATTGACTTGGTATTGTCATAAGGCTGACTCAGAAAGAAGTGAGAAGCCTAAAAGATGTAATTTGTCTATAAATCCCTTATGCTATGTTGTTGGCAGTACAGTGGCCTCTGGTCTGATGCTGGTGGTCTGGCCAGCCCCCTCTCCTGTCATGATGGCCCCACGTGGCAGCCGGGGAGGTGTTTGGGCATGTTGGGGTGCAGGGTGTTTGTGTGTGTGTGTGTGTGTGAATCAACTGTTTGTACTTTGTAGTTACGTTTTTGGAGGCATGAGTTATGTGTGAACTACATAGGGGGTCTGGCACCCTAGCCCCAGTATTGTTGAAGGGGAAAGTGTACTGATCAGTTATGCTGGTGTAAATGCAGTGGCATAAATTAAAATGGTACATTTCTGTTAATCACTGAGTTGCTGCTTGTATTCATTATTGTGCACCAGCCCATATGACTGATGTCTAGCAATGGATACAAGTGGCTACATACTAACTGGCATTGATTTCCTGCTGTGATTTATGCCATTGCATTTAGTTTTTGCTCTTCTCCAGTATTTGGGACACAATTATTTGATTTTTTTAATGCTTATATTTGGGAAACGGTAAACAAAAATCATTGTGTGAATTTTCCTGTAGACTTAAAATGGGAGAGCTGCAAACTGCACAGAAATGGGAGACAACAAACCTGTTCTACAAAAAAACCTCCAGAATGTTGCAGAAGTTTTTTTTAAAAAAAAAGAGAGAGAGAGATTTGTTCATCTCTATCTGTGAGTTACATAATCTCTTTCCTAGAATCTCATCTGCACTTTTTTGTTGCACCACAAGGGGTCACAATACAATTATAAATATCTTATGGAAAATAAATCCGCTGAAGGCCTTCCACCAAAACCTAAAGATAGTGTTCACGTAACAGTAAAAGATCAATAGTAGAAAAGTTTATAATATACTGTATATATATAAAATCTGTAAGTCAAATGTCTTTTTTTTTTGTCTCACAGCAGTAGCAGCTTGTGAAACCTGCTATCAGATTTATCCAAACATCCTTTTTATGGTTCATTTTATACTGAAGGCTGGAGAAACTATCTGTGAAACAGTGGTCCTTTCTGACTCATCATTAGCAACACAAGCAGATTTGGAAGAGAGACAGGATAAGGCATTTATTGGCACAGTAGGTAACACATAATTGAATGATGTACGATGCATTGAATAGCATTGCCATGTTAAAATAAGCATGTTTAGTAATGCAGTACAAAAGGATGAAAACTGTGTTAAGTAGACTGGCTGGCAGTAGTTCAGCAAAATAAATGGTTTTTATTGTTTATTTATTTAACTTATATACCATCCATCTAGAATGTGTCTACTGTGGGCAATTTACATAAAGCATAAAAAATAAACTAAAAGTAAAATCTGAATTAATCGCAGAATCCAAGATGGAAAAAGAAAAAGAGGAAAAAAGAAAAGAAATAGGCTAGGTGATGGCTGTAGGGAAGGCCTGTCTGCATAACCATATCTTCAGATTGGTATTGAAGGCTCTCAGCGAGGGGGCCAGGCGGATACCTACTGGTAAGTTATTCCACAGGTGAGGAACCACTGCCAAGAAGGCCCAGAAGGCTCTCAGCGAGGGGGCCAGGCGGATTCCTACTGGTAAGTTATTCCACAGGCGAGGGGCCACTGCCAAGAAGGCCCGATTGTTAGTTTTTCCCCTTCAGATCTCTCTTGGAGTTAGGCCCCTCGGTCACCTGGTCTGACTGAAATGGGTGATATGGGTAGAACTAGGTGGAAGAAGGCGCTTTGCCAGGTATTGAGGGCCTAAACTGTTTAGGGCTTTATATGTAATACTTAGCACCTTGAAATTGACGTAAAAGTGGATAGGTAACCAGTGTAAGGCTGCCAGGGTGGGGGAAATATGGTGAAATCTTTTTACCCCGTTAATAACTTGGCCGCCGTGTTCTGGACCATCTGAAGTGTTCGCATCGGTCTCAAAGGAAGCACCACATAGAGAGCATTACAATACTGTAGTCCATTCTTGAGACTATGAGGGGATGGACCAACATGGTGAGTGCCCTCACATGTAAATAGGGATGCAACTGGATGATCTGCTGGAAGGTGTAAGTGGGTTGACCAAACATGGTGAGTGCCCCCACATCTAGATAGTGATGCAACTGGATGATCTGCTGAAGGTGTAAGTAGGTTGACCGAACCAAGGATGCTACTTGGGTCTCCATGGTAAGTGCTGGGTCAAGATGGACCCCCAGTTTGCAAATGCAAAATAGAGGGAGTTCCCCAAACCACTGACATTGGGGCCATCCACCTGCAAGACCTCTGTCTTGTCCAGGTTCAACCTCAGTCCATTCAACTGCATCCAGTCAATGTATGGACATCTGAAACAAGCATCTTCAGGACTCTGTCAGCCCAGTGGATCATGTGCTGTGCAATGGAATGGACCATTCTGACAGGCCTGGGGCCAGTTGTCTTTCCCCGGGAGACTCTGTGGGCCTGATAAAGTGGCCCAAATATAAATAACATTGGGGGAAAAACCTTGAAGTAGTCAGAAATATACTTATGATTTTGCAAAACAAATGTCTTTGGGTGTTTAATGGTTCAGATGGCTTCTGTGATCTTTTAAAAAAGTTTCCAGTCCAGTATTTTTTTTTTTTTGGTCTAGTCCAGCTTTTCTTTTGTTTTCTTTTGGGAAAATATTTTTTGCTGTGGAGATCTGGGCTGCAAAAGCAGTTTCAGTGGATCTCATGCAGGTTCTAGGATGTATTTTGCCCAGCCTTGCTATAGTGACACAGTCCATGCATTGTAGGTAATTGAATGGGAGCACTGCTGTAAAAAAATTCAAATTAGCAAGGCGGGTGGATAAGGAAATACTCTGCGGGGCCTGTTGTCAAAGACAGGTTGACATTTTTAATGTTTCTCTAATTTATGACAAGAGGTTGGATCCAAAGGTTTCCTTTTGTTGTAGCAAATGCTGGATAGCTTAGTGAGTTTGGTATGTGTTTGCGGAGGCAGAAGTTGGGAGTTGAGTTCCCTAGTGTTCCTACTATAATTGCCTTTATCAATAAGGATTGATTGCGGAGGCAGAAGTTGGGAGTTGAGTTCCCTAGTGTTCCTACTATAATTGACTTTATCAGTAAGGATTGACTTCAGGCACCCAGTAATAATTCTGCAACTTTCATTGAGTGCTACATCTACTTGTTTTGCAAAGGCTGAACCATACCACAGTGGACTGGTATATTCATCTGCAGAGTAGCATAGGGCCAAGGCTGCAGGTCTTAGTGTTTGTGGTTGTGTGCCCCAAGTGGTTCTCAACGGCATTTGAAAACATATTGTTCCTTGTGAAGACCTTTTTCTTAGTGTTTGTGGTTGTGTGCCCCAAGTGGTTCTCAATGGCATTTGAAGAATATTGTTCCTTGTGGAGACCTTTAGCTTTGCATTTTGACACTCTTTCTAATGGGTCAGTGTTTGATTCAAAGTAACATCTAGGTATTTGGGGGCAAACCAATTATTTAGTTGGATGCCCTTCCAGGCTTGTTTCTCAGGTGGAAGGCATGTATTTGATGTGGTTGTGTGCCCCAAGTGGTTCTCAATGGCATTTGAAGAATATTGTTCCTTGTGGAGACCTTTAGCTTTGCATTTTGACACTCTTTCTAATGGGTCAGTGTTTGATTCAAAGTAACATCTAGGTATTTGGGGGCAAACCAATTATTTAGTTGGATGCCCTTCCAGGCTTGTTTCTCAGGTGGAAGGCATGTATTTGAGTCTTAGTAGGATTGGGTTTAAATTTATTTCTATCACGATGTGTGCCAACTTCTTCTAATGCATCTACCATCTGAAAGCTATTCTGTCATCTTAAAGTATTCCACTGACTAAACAGCAAGTACAAGATTGTCAGCATCAATAAAACTTATGTTGCCTTGAAGGAGTGGTTGATCACTGGCATGCAGAACAAAACAGAAGCCAGTACATTTCCCTGGAAGAAGCCATTCTTTTGAATCCTCCATTGGCTGTGTTGCCCTTGAAAGTTAAGAAAAATCTTTTATTTTGCAAAAGAGTTGCTATTACTTTAGTCAGCTGATAATTCTTGGTTAGACTATAGAATTTTAGCAGTAGTACTTGATGATGAATAGATAGGCAGCCAAAAGCTCAACAATGGCTTGCCTGTGTGATCTTCCCAATTTCAAAGTTGTCCTCAATATGTTGTATTAAATAATGGCATACTCATGAAACGAATACTCAACAGATTCCTTATTTTCCTTGATTAAGGCTGCCTTGATATGACAAGACACCTGAGAAATGTTCAAGGTCTGAGTGATTCCTTGGCTCCAGCACAAGAAGGAGATAAGGAGTGTTTTCTTTCTCACTGACATTTTTGCAATTTATACAAAATGCTTCTGGGACAGTCTGTGCAAATCTAGTGCCTGTTTTCTTTAAGAAGCAAACTGAATTGAACTGAGCCAAGTTATATAACTTGTGTAAGTAATGCAGTTTACCCAAATCACACAATTTGCATAAGACTATCAAACCCTCTTGTAAGGTGAGAAGAGTAAACATCTGTTCTGTGTCATTACCTGTGAGGACAAAACACATAAGGACTTGCATCCCTAGCCTTTTCTTTCCCAAGCACTATCCTTTCCTGTCAGTTCACAAGGAAATTCTCAGACTGGTAGATTCTGAGAGGGCATGTCTCATAGGGAAGCACAAATCCTGTTGTTTCCCAAACTGCATCTCCTTGTTTAACTGCTTAATGATGGTAGGGCCTACTGAAAGAGCAAACAATGAAAACCAATGAGCTGGCTTATGTTGTACTGTCTTCCATTTTTCGGCCCCTTGTGTTGGCTGTTGACCCCACTGCGTTAGGGCTAATGCAGCTTATGGGCTGAAGCGATCCACATTTCAGCATGAACCTGAAAGGAAAACTCGAGGGGTAGGGCATGGCCTGGAACCGATTTTGTTTTAAATTACCCAGGACTCTTGTTAGAGATCTTTTCACTCATCTTGGTTTGCTGGAGGGAGCTATAGAGACGTATTCCTCAATTTAGAGAACCTTGAGGAATAATTGATTACACAACTTAATTAAATATATTATGGAGACCAAGCCCCATTAATAGTAATTGAATCCCCACCCTGATACTTTTCGCTCTCTTCTCTATAATGCTGCTGGAATCTTTTTCTGCTCTGTTTCTTTTTATGGAGAGATTCAGAGCTATGCTAAAAATGGCAATCATTGAAATAAGAAAAATAAAAATAGGCATGTAAGAGGAGAGATTGTAATCTGCCACTGAAAGGTGTAGGTGGTTGCTGTTTATAATTTACTTGCACCATTGCCAAGAGGACTGCTTACATATGAAATCATGCAACATAGCTGCCTTTGAGAAGACTATATGTGATATATTGGAAATCTGTTAAACCTTCTCATACTTGAAGCACACCAGCCTTTCAACTCCAGTACTTCTGTGAAGCACTTTGGTTTTTCAGGACAACAGGGAAGCTTTGCATCAGTTTGAAGGTGTGTGTTCTTACTATTACTTCTTTTCCTGTTTTCCAAAAGCATTTTCTTCCTTAGCAGACATAATTATGACAGAGGGGCTCTTTTTTGTGTGCCCTTGCTTAAAATTATTTTTTAAAAAGTAAATTAGTCAACTTAAAATGGCATCATTTTAAATCTGTATATTGGATTGTGGTAATGGCATGAGAATAGAGTCTTGGCTTTTTTTTCTGTTTTACAAAATTTCTGGAGCAGCTGCATAAGAAATGTAAAACAAGTGTAAGAATGTGCTACCAGTATTGCACTGAAAAATTGAAGATGCAGGCTTATCCAGGAAAGGTGTGACTTCCATGGTGATTGCTGATCTTCTAGATTGGCTTTGTTTCATTTAAGCATTTGCATTATGTGTTTTTAGATTTCTATTACCAAAGCACTTTAAAATAAAATTTACACAAACCACTTCTGTTGCCTGATTTAAACACAACTGTGACTATATCTTCTGTCATTTGTAAAAGATATAAGAGGGTATGACCTCCATAATGAGTCCTTGAATGCCTTTAAAGTTAAGACAGTTTTTGGGGTTTGCTTGGCTTTTAATTATTTAATTGTATTTTAATTGGCATATAGTTTATTTTTTTTATTTTTAATTTATCATGTTTTTAATTGTATTCTTTTTAATACTGTGAGTTGGCGTAGGTCCCCTTATCAAGAGTAAGTTCACTTATAAATTAAACAACCAAAAAAAAAATAATGATAAGTGAAAGCATGGTGTTGGACTATAGTGAAAGTCAAAGGTGGTTGTAGGACTACGGAACTAGGCTGTTCTTTTTTTGATCCCTCGTGTAATCTAAGTAGATCCTTTAATGCAGGCTTGTCCAGCCCGTGGCCCGAGGGCCGCTTGCGGCCCAGGTCAGCTTGTAATGCGGCCCAGCGCAATTTTTTATTTTTAAAGAAATTCCAAAGTTTCAAGTTACACTGCCGGCACTTGCGGCCGGAATATTGCCGGGGCACGTCACAACAGTAGAGGGAGAGAGAGGGAAAGATGGAAGGAATGTGAGGGGAGGGGACAGGGGAGCTGTGTGACTGCGTTGCGCGTCCCCGTCAATAGGCGGACCCCCTCCCGGCCCCATGAAGCTGCCGGAGTCAAAGGTGGCAGCTTCTGCTGTCTGAGATCGCAGCTGCCAGTAAGCGCACTTGGAGCGGGGCTGCGGAGGATGGCTAGGGCTGCCCCCCCATGCTTCCCAAACCAAATGTATGTGCGGCCCAAACCAAATTTTCATCTTCTAATGTGGCCCAGGGAAGGTGAAAGGTTGGACACCCCTGCTTTAATGGAAGCACAGAGGTACAGTATCATTCAAGACTGTGTCTTAGGATCCCTTGCAACAATGTAAAGGTTCCTGGGGAAACTCTCAGAGACTGCACCAGGCAATTGTGTAACGTAGCACAAGGCTTGAGGCTATAACCTTGTGAGTAGCTGTGTGTCTCATTGACTGATTAATTCAAAGCATTTTTCTTGCCCTTGATCAAATCAGATCTCAGGGAAGTGTACAACAATGCAGATAATAAATTATTTAAAGCCTAATGCAATACAATAAAACAGTGACATCAGAGAACTATAATCAAAGACAGCAAATAAAACACATTTTATTCCTTTTCCTGTTTACTTTTAATACATTGCGAGAGTGAAATGAAAGGCACTCCGCATGAAATATTTTGAGGGGAAAACCTGGGATGCAAGTCTGTGCAGAAAATTACCAATTAACTTTGTATTCACAAGGCCTTATTAATGGATTTAACTTTTTTTTTCCTAGTCGCTCATGAGTACTGGAACAGCAGCTGAATTAAATACTGAACAAAAGCAGTTCAAAATTAAACCATTTCTCTGGCACAGTCTTCTTGTTTGGGTTTGTGTACACAACAGCTGCTCTGAAATAGATGAAGTACTCAGACATGTCCTATTCTATAAAGAACAGCTTCATGAGAAAAACTGGTAAGGATAACCTTATAACTTGATATAATCTTTATGGCAATAACCTTTGTATTGAAATGTTAAATAACCTTTATGTCTAAATGTTAATCACCCCAAAGTTGCCTGTCAAAAAGATTTATATTTTTTGTGCCAGAAGGAAAAGCAATTTATGTCTTTTGTATTGCTTCACTTTATCAATAAATTGTTTCTGCTTTTTTGGCTGGAAGTACATAATATGTATTTTATCAGTTTACCTATATTATATTATTTCTGCTATTAACGGACTTTATTTCAGCATCCCAAGGTACTGTAATTTTCATATAACTAAACAGCTGCAGTGAAGAGCGACATCCTTCTGGGACAGGTACTGGTCTTCAATTGTGGGTGCACTTTATTTGCAAAGTTTAATTGAAACTAATTTTGGATGCCTTTAATTAATTTTACACTGGAACTTTATTCTAGATAGCTTCTGCGAATTGAAACTTCAGCGGGTTGTGATAGTGGATTATACTGGTTAGAACTCTGTAATATACCAAATTTTAACTCACTTTGTTATGAAGAAACATTGGATAAATGTAAAAGGTCTAAAAATAAACTCTGGCTTTTTGAATTTGGCCTGAGAATCAGACTGAACTCTGCTCCAGATAATCAGACATTTGGTTGTGTAAAGTTAGCAGAGGCATGGAATGATAGAAGAAATTGATAATGTTCAGTGTTAACTTGACAATGTAGAAAGCTAATTTATTCTGAGTCAGTCCTTTGATTTGACATCAACTCTTGGTCTAAGCCTGCTTAACTTCTGAAATCAGATAAAAAGGGTACATTCAGGATGATACACTGGTGCCCTTACCTTTCTTTTTTATGTTTGATAGTATGGAAGCACATCAATTTGGAACATGAATTTGTTGATTATCAGCTTGATAATTGCAGGTATCCATTTTTAAATCTCCTTCATGATTTCTGTAACTGCATGGAGAATCATGTGGCTTCATCACTAGTGAATTATTGAGAAAGTGTGAAATAGGGTCTTTGGATTTATCCCTTAATCTTAAATTCACAGTAAGGACAATGTAAGATGGATTTGGTAATGGCTGTCTGGCTCACATGTGTGTCCAAGCCTACGGATCTGTGCAGTCTGCTTAATTTGAACTAGTGATTTTCACCTGGGAAAAGAGCAAGCAAACAAACATGGCAGAGTCGAACAGTTCATTCCCCATAAATTACCCTTCCTTTCTCCTGTTTTCAGGTTCAGGTCAGGCAAAAAATTTCAGACGTATGAGAATACGATGTGATTTTTTTTTCTTGGAAATATAGCAGAATTTAGCACGAAAAACGCATAACAGAAATTAAGTTTCAAATCTAAATATTTGTGTCAGTGTATTTGCTTATAGTGTTGCCAGTACCACTGTGGTATAATGCTGTACTACTAATACATGTGTACAGTCAAAAGCTTTCATATGCTGTAAGACACAGAAATGGACAGTTAACTCTGGTGTTGTAATTCCATCTGTCCTGGAATTATGGAACCTTCTGCTTGAGCAAAGCTGTCATGAAGAAGCTGTATCTAAAGCTACCATATGTAAACTGGAGGAATGTATTAAAATAATGTAGTAAGATCTTAATTGTGCCTGTGCAAGGCTCTAATGTAATGGACCATGGACTCTGAAAGGAAGCTCTGAAGCCTTTATCACTATGTCGGCATCTTTGCTGCGATACCTGGTGGCCTGATCTTGTTGCATTGCCTAATCCACCACCACATTCGATAGCCAGAGGGTAAAAAGACAGCTAACAGGCTTATCAAAGGCTGTCAAAGACAGCAGAAATGGGCCCTGCCTCACTCCATAAAAGTGCTGAACCACAGGGCAGAACAAATATATATATATAATTACAACTCCCCATACTCTCCTTAGAGCAGGAATGTTTAAGGATCCACAACAGACAGTAAAAATAATTTTAAGATGACCATATTTCTTCGTAATGGTCTCAGTGAATGCACACAAATGGGTTAATCCTGCGCCTGCGCAGGGCATTCGGAAGATTCTAGAGCTTTAGAAAAAAGAGTCAATTAGCTCCCTCACAGAGGGCATATAGGCTCCGCCTCCTCCATCTTCCTTTCAGTTCCTCTTTTTCCACCGTTCCGTTAGGACGTTAAGAAGAGCAGAGCATCCATACTTAAGTATACTAGCTTAGCTAACCTTTTCTTCTTATTTCCTTTCTTTTATTGTTGTTTTATTGTTGTTTTATTGACAGAACCTGCCCTACTTTGAGTTCGCCATCATTCTGTCCCCCTTCCCCCTTCCCCCCTGTTCTTCAATGGATTCCTTTTGTTTTATGGCCCCTCGGGCTTCAAGCAGTGTGCCGTCTGTTTCCGCTAAATTCCTCTTTCAGACGGCCACGACATGTGCTTGTTTTGTCTGGGAGAATCACACCTCGACCAGACTTGCATTGCTTGCAAAGGTTTTTCCAAGCAAGCCATTAATCTCAGAGGCCAATGGCTTCAATCTTTTCTCTACGAGAAGACTCTTCTTCCCGCCATGGAAGCCTCCTCCCTCTCTGCACCAACCCCTCCACGTTCGGAGGCCTCCAAACTTCTCCTGCTGAGCAGTTGGCTCTTACCATCTCCCTTCCTGTGAAATCCAAGGAAGCCTCAAAACCGCCAAGGCGTCCTCTCGAGTTGTCCTTCCTGTAAAAAGGAAAACCAACGATAAGCCTCCAAATCTGAAGAAGTCAGCTAAACCGTCTACTGTGCCTCCTCCAGCTCCTTCAATACTGCTCGAGGAGTCTTCGAGGGAAGGAATTGGACTTTCTGATACTGAGGAGCACATTCCTTCAGCCCAGACGGCTCAGGATATCATGTGCATATCTCCGAACTCGGGCCGATTTGAGGCTGTGCCAGATGCCAGCCAGGCCATTGCCCCTTCTAGCCCTCGATACTCAGGGCGGGCTGATACCGAGTCTCTATCCTAACAGGAGTCTGTCCATGGCACTCCTAGAAAAAGCATGGAAAAGCGTAAACATACAATTCCGTACTAACCTAGAGATGCAGGAAATGGATACCATCCACAGGGTCCGCCACAGTTTGGCCACCCTTTTTACGCTCCGTACCAACCGTGTCCGTACCAAGGCTATGTTTACCCACCGGAGCTTCAAGGCACCACCATGCCTCAACCACCGTGGCACCATACCGTAGCTCCCCCCACGCTACATCAGCCACTAAACGCGCTAAATGCAGCAGCCGCCACTCTTCAGTGCGAGCTGCCACTCTATATTCCGGCCCAGGAGCTCACGATACCGAGCCCTTTTCCCCGTCCACTCAATCTGACATGGGCATTGTACCAGAGGATGCAGTACCGCGCCGCTCTCCTTCTCTAGCCTCTCAATCCTTTCCAGATGACCACTCTATGGCATCTAGTGAATCCGATGCTCCTGACACAGTTGGTCAAGGCTCGTCTTTCTAGCCTTCTCTAGAAGACTTCTCCTCTTATGCGCAACTTATTATGCGCATGGCAAAAACCCTTCAGCTGGATGCACAGATCCCGCAACAGGAAAGGGACCTAGTCTTCCAAGACATGGAGCAGGACAAAGCCTCCCCTCCTAGTCTAAGTCTCATCCCAGCCCTCTTCGAACTGGTCAAAACTTCATGGGACAAATCACCCGCGATGGCTCAAGTCCCTCACAAAATAGAGCATCATTACAAAACCCATGGGTCGGATTCCGATTTCCTCACTAATCATCCAACTCCATCGTGGTTGAAGCCACCCAATACAAGTCGTGTACCCGATCATCGGCTACACCCATTGACAACGAGGGAAAGAAAATGGACAATTTAGGCAATGAGCTATATGACTTTGCTGCCCTTTTGATTAAAATAGCCAACTATCAAGCGACTATGGGTGCTACCAAAAGCATCTTTGGGACAAAATAATCCCGATGTTGCACACCTTACCTAATCCTTCTAAAACGGAAGCCCTCAACGTTTACGAAGAGGCCAATACTCAGGCAACAGAGGTTTGCTAACGATGATAGCTGTCAGACGCCATGCATGGCTCAGAACCGCCAGTATCCTTGACAACACGAAAACAAAAATCGAGGACCTGCCCTTCAATGCTATTGGACTATTTAATTCCAAGACTGACAAAATCATGGAGAATGTACACAAAATGAGAAAGACAGCGAAGTCTTATGTACCATACCAGCCGTATAGGTACCAGAAACAGGCCTATAAAAAGCCTCAATACCAATCCTCCATTCAGTACCAACCCTTTTGGTACAGCAAACAACAGCAGGACTGGACTTATGAGACCCAACAGTCCACCGTTCCGCTGTTCAGGCAACAATGCTTTTGCAGCCCCAAGCAGTCTTTTTGCAAAACCCAACATAGGGGTAAGCACTTCTCTTAATCATTTGTATACCATCAGATTGTTCCCATTCCTTCAAGAATGGTGCAGCATCACTACCGACAAGGGGGTCCTTAATATCATTGAAAAAGGCTACCTGATTGAATTCTCAATGAACCCCATTACCATCACTTCTATCCAAAGGGCCTATAACCAGAGTACCATCCTCTGACTCCAGCGAGGGTTTTTTCTCACATTACTTTGCAGTCCCCAAGAAAGACGGCGGCATAAGGCCCATCATGGACCTTAGAGACCTCAATCAATACATCCTATACAAAAAATTCCATATGCTGACTCTTGACTCCATTCTCCCTCTTCTGTCCCAGGGAAACTGGTTCGTCACCATCGATTTACAGGACACCTACTTCCACATTTCCATCTACCCATCTCATCAAAAATCCCTCCATTTCCGGTTCCACCACGACACCTTCCAATTCACCGCTTTACTGTTCGGGCTCTCCACAGCCCCCAGGACATTCACAAAGTGCATGGCACTGGTTGTGGCATACCTTTGTACTAAGGGGATAAAAATCTTTCCCTACATTGACGACTGGCTTTTAGTGGCGAAATCCTACCACGAGGCAGTCTCTGCCACAAACTTTACCCTCTGAGTCTAAAAAGACT